AATATGCTTTAAGAGGACATTCTAATTACTTACTATCCCCTACAGTAGACAAAAGGTCTTTGTCCCAATAGAAAGGGAACATGAAGACATTATGTTTAAAAATACGATGTCTTCAGGAAAGAGCATTTCAATTCCTGTTTTATATGAAGATCTTTGGATTTCTGACAAATATGTACCACAAATAAATTTATGTTCAGGATGACAACCTGAACTGGTACCCACTTCACTACTGCTTTTGCTCTGTTTGAATGGACTCTTACCACATCAACTGCACACAAACCTCCAACAACAGATGCAAAGAACAACATCTAGAGGAAAGGAAAACTTGCTCTATGTGAGCAATAAGGTGCTTTTTATTTAAGACTTGCTATGCTAAAGCAGTAGCACTTCCTATAAACAGATCTCTGGATATGAAGAAAAATTGCTATAAAGCAAACACATTTCTGAAAATACAAAATGAGGATATGCAAAAAATTGTAGAATAAGAAAATTTGAAATGGCTTTGGGGCATATGACTCTACTCTAGAAAGTAGCTAGAAATTAAATAGCTTTTTTAAAAGGTAACTTTCTAGAACAAAGTAACTTTCACAACTCACTAATGTATTTATGTCAATTGTACTTCCATGTATATCAGACATGCACAGTGGTATTATATAAGCTTTCAAAAATTTCAAGCAACAGGTTCCTGTACACACTGGCATATATAATCATGTAGATTAATGGAAGCAGGTGTAGAATAACACAGAATAAACAATACAAGGATTTCTCAAAGACAGGTGATTCAGGTGTTTAAAAAAACCCAAACAAAACCAAACCAAAACACTCACAAAGAAAACAAGCCTAAAACATTGTGGCTACCTAGAGAATCTTGAAAAATATAATCCTTCATGGCAATGCCCATTAACCACCTTTGAAAACACAGAATGCTTCTTAAAATCTGTCAAATATGCTAAAGGATGCCAGACCAGGTATTCCACAATTACATAAACTTGTTCTAGAAAGGGACATAAAATATTGACCATCAGGTATGCAGAGTCCCAAATGAGGCAGAAAATTTTCTTTCCCAGTGACTTGAAACTTGGGCCACCCCATCACCACTGTGCTCAGCATAAATTGAAAGCACAGCCCCATACCAGCCACTGTGAAGAAAATTAACTCTACCCCAGCCAAAACCAGCACAGTCTGCCATGGGAGTATTTAGGAAAAACATTATTACATGATAAAAGACACCTCTCATCAGCTCACATGTTATATAGGACACCTAGGGAAACAAAGACTGACCTAGAGCCAGAAGGAAAAAAATAAGACAGCAATTCCAATAACAATTCCAATTTGTCTGCCAAAAATAATTCACAGAAAATCAAATTAAGAGTTCCCTGTAAACAGTACCTCTTTCTCTCCAACAACCACCAGACCTGTGGTCTGTGCACATCAGGCTGCACAGATTTTAGAGAACAGTAACTGGTGAAGTAGCAATATAACCTAAGATCCGAATGTCTTCCCACTTGCTTGAAGTTTGTTCTGTGAGAAAACATTTATATCTTGTAATTAGTGCCAAACTGTCCAATCACAGAAGGAATAATGTCTCCTAATCACACAAAAAATGGAAAATTGATGTATTAAACACTTTCAGTGACGAATTATCACACTGTCAGAAACAGAGTTAAAACATGATCAGACCTTAGAACTATATATGGTAGTCCTGGCTTCCAAACACAGAGAACTGCAGCAAATAAATATAGATTTCTCGCCAAGAATATTAACCATTTCATTTAAATATTAATATGATCCTTTTTAAGTGTATGTATATATATCTGATGACATATTATTGCTGTCTAATAACAAGACTTGACTCTTTAGAAAGCAAATAGAACTTCAAAATGTTTCCTTTGCAAAGATTCTACCACTACAGCATCACCTAATAACCAACACATATTAATTTTTAATAGCATAAGGAAATTAGTTTCTGTTTTGAAGACCAAAATTCTGTAGTACCAAGTACCTTGTGAACAACATACCTTTACAAAGAACTGAAGCTATGAATAAACATGAACAGTTGTACATTCTACCAACTGTAGAAAAAGCTGTACTTAACTCCAAAAGTAACAGCCATCCATAGCCACAACTAGTGCAGTATCTTAGAAAATTGACACAAGCTGAAAAATTCCCAGGCCACAGTAATTGACAGAAGGGATGCACAAGGCACAAATATTTTCAGGAGTTCCTCCTCACAACAATAAGCACGAACATCACTAATGACACTTCCATCCAGCCAAACCCATTCAGGGTTCAGAGCCCTAGAGTCCCATCTCACTTTCAGTGAGGAAAAGCAACCATTGCCATACTATTTCTGCGAAGTGCTGACTTCATTTACTTCTAATTTGATTCTCTTTTTCAGTCCCATTGTTATTATATGTTTTAAAAACTATTAAGTGACATTCCCATTAGACTTCTCTTTTTCTTGTACTTTATTTCGTTTATCCTATAAGATCCTGATAGAGGTCACCTAGGCTTGACATTTACAATTCCATGGGCCCTGATGGGATACATCCATGAGTGCTGAGAGAGCTGGCAGACATCATAGCTAGGCCACTCACTATCATCTTTGAAAGGTCATGGAGATCAGGAGAGGTGACTGAGGACTGGAAGAAAGCAAACATCACCTCAGTCTTCAGAAAGGACAAGAAAGAGAACCCAGGGAACTACTGGCCATTCACATTTACAATTCCATGGGCCCTGATGGGATACATCCATGAGTGCTGAGAGAGCTGGCAGACATCATAGCTAGGCCACTCACTATCATCTTTGAAAGGTCATGGAGATCAGGAGAGGTGACTGAGGACTGGAAGAAAGCAAACATCACCTCAGTCTTCAGAAAGGACAAGAAAGAGAACCCAGGGAACTACTGGCCATTCAGCTACACATCATGGAAAGGAAAGGTAGAGAATCATTCTGGAGGCCATCTCTAAACACATGGAGGACAAGAAGGTGATCAAGAGTCATCAACATGGGTTTACTAAAGAGAAAACACACTTGACCAACCTGATTGCCTTCTACAATTTAATAACCACCTGGATGGATGAGGGGAAAGCAGTTGATACTGTCCACCTGAACTTTAGCAAATTCTGCCTGAACATGAGGAAGAACTTCTTTACTGTGCAAGTGACTGAGCACTGGAACTGGTAGTCCAGAGAGGCTGTTGATTCTCCCTCACTGGAGATATTCAAGAACTGTCTGGATGTGGCTACACATCATGGAAAGGTGATGGAGAGAATCATTCTGGAGGCCATCTCTAAACACATGGAGGACAAGAAGGTGATCAAGAGTCATCAACATGGGTTTACTAAAGAGAAAACACACTTGACCAACCTGATTGCCTTCTACAATTTAATAACCACCTGGATGGATGAGGGGAAAGCAGTTGATACTGTCCACCTGAACTTTAGCAAATTCTGCCTGAACATGAGGAAGAACTTCTTTACTGTGCAAGTGACTGAGCACTGGAACTGGTAGTCCAGAGAGGCTGTTGATTCTCCCTCACTGGAGATATTCAAGAACTGTCTGGATGTGCTCTAGGATGACCCTGCCTGAGCAGGGAGGTTGGACCAGCTGAACAATTATGGTTCCTTCCAACCTGACCCACTCTGTCACCTTATTACTCCTCCTCCAAAATGAACAGATTTAGCAGACAGTCCAGGAGAGAAATACCACTTCTGCCTTTTTTGCTATGCTTCACTTAACTACCAATCCTAGACTGAGAAATTTCAAAACTATTAATAAAAGCTATGACTAAATGTGTATCCAGTTTACTGTGCTCAATTAAGTGCCTCCTGATGCTTCTGAAATCTAAACTATACATAACTTCTAAGTCCAGTGCTGGTGGCATATTATCAGGTCAGAAACCATTCACAAAACCTTCACTGGTAAGATGTCCAAGCAAAGTGGTTCAGGGCACAAAGAAAACTGTTTATCTCTTGACTAATGCATCTCCTGGTTTCAGAAAAAAATGTCCTTTTTTTCCTTGGAAACTAACTGGCAATCTCAGAAATACAGAGATCAAATGGGGTCCCCAGTTCAGAATCCCAACAATTTTGCTGATAAATAAGAGTCCTTTCACAAAAGCAAAAGCAGACTAAAAACTAAAGCATTTTCAGCCTTCTTCTAAATTCAAATCCTGCTAAGACAACAATCTCTTATCTAGGTTGCCAGCTCACTGCCATAAAAGAAAGAGCTATCCAGATGGGAACAAAGTCTGGCCAAAGAAATAATGCAGTATCAAAAGATTCCAGACATTTCCCACTACCTTCTAGAGGTAATAAATCACTATATCCATCCAATTAAAAACAACAACAACAATATAAAAGCAAACAAAGAATTCTCTGGTACACTTAAAACTGAACCTTGACCTTAATAATACGGGAGGAAGAGGGAAGGGAAACAGGTTCAGAAGGCTGTTAATAGAAACCCCTTCCATCATTCGCTTCACTTAAGGCTAATGTACAAATAAATTAACTTTTAGATTTTAATTTTTCAGTCACTCAGATCAAAGTTAAGTTCAGACTCCTTTGAAAAATATCCTAAGCTTTGCCACAGATCAAACCTTGACAAAAACTCTTGGGCTTTCCAAAACAGCTGACACTTCATTGCTTTTAGTGTTCTGACAATTCAAATGGAGACTTAGGTTGAATTTTCTGAATTTAAATAACCGTTAGAGTTACACTCTCCTTATATTAAGAGAATCTAAAAATATTAATTAGAGCCTAACAAACTGATGTTATTTGTACCGAAATAGCAAAACACGTGCAATCTTTTTCTATAAAGCTCTGTCATACTTTACACACCATAGTAACTCATTCTTTCTTTAGAACTGAAAGGACAAAAATACATTTTTCTTCAGCTGAGGTCTAACTGAAACTTCGCCAATGCAAACAGGCACCATTGGATAACTTGGAATAGAACTATTTAGAAAATCAAATCACCATCATCTGTGAGTATCTTACCTTTAAATAGGATCCATAATATTTAGTTACATATGGACTGTCACACTGACTCAGCACTGTGATTTCTTGTTGGATGTCTTCTATTTCATCTTCTGCTTCTTCTAGGTCAATAATTTTTATAGCAACAACTTTCTGAGTCCGATTGTCAATTCCTTTAAAAACTTCCCCAAAAGAGCCCTTACCAATTTTCTCCAGTTTGGTAAACAGTTCTTCTGGATCTGCCTTCAGAGTCTGTTAAAAATAAGAGAAAAGTTACTCAGTATTTGCAACACTAAAACAAAAGGTGATATTTTTAAAGGCAACAAGCATTTCAAATTCTATACATTATTATTTATTTAGCTACTTTTTTCTAGCTCCATAATTACCACATTCTTCCTGCTTCCCTTATATGTACACACTGAAAGGTTTATGCTTCCCTGAATACAAAATACAAATTTAACACTGTTCCTGTGTCAGGTTTTTATCCTATCTGGCAACAGAAAGTGCTGCTACCTCGATTTCTTTTCCTCTGCCAATAAAGAACACCCAGAATGAAAGATTCTTACAAGGACTTGTTTTCTATCAAAAGCAAATAGATAAAAGCAAACATTTTGTCTAACCCTTTCTCTTGAAATTTGTTCCTTCCCAGATCCCAGGTCCTTCTCTTTTGTATTTTTCACATAGCTTAATGTGAATCCTTAATCCTCTTAAGGATTTTGTCCACCCTCTTCAGTGCACAGACTACTATTTCCTTCTGTTTGATGTGCCAAACCGTCCTCTCCAATTTTCTCCTAAGGATCACCTGCATGAATCTCCATGCTTCCTCCTTATCCCTGACCCCAAGGTTTTCTCAAGCAGGATTTATTTATCTTTCTTCTCTCAGTTGGGGAAACTCATTCACTCCTAAAAAACATCCTATTCCCAGCTACCTTGATGTAAACAGTCACACAAAAGCTATGAGTGCTCACCTAAACACATAAATATAAGACCTAGGAGGTCCACTCTACCATATTTGATTTTCTACACTGTCAAGTATTTAGCTCACTACTGCTGCTCTTAGACTTCTCACTTTCAGTGCACATGTTAGCGTAGAAACATTTTATCCCATGTTATCCCATGGAGGGTAAGTTCCATAGTATACCTTCCTAATATAGCAGCAAGGAACCTTCACAGTTAACAAAAAAACACACAAATTACATCTATAGGGGTTTTGACCAGTTGACCTTTCAAGGTCCCTCTACATCCAAACTATTCTATGATTAAACTGGAAAAGTCATAGATGGAGGGAATAGCGATGAAGTTAAGAAAAATAGGATAGGACTAGTTTTCCTTAAAAAATAAAATGGATACTTCAAAAGACTTGTTATAGTTTTTAAAAGGGTGAGGCTCACGCTAGCTAAGTGAAAATACATTGCTGATACAGAAAAAAAGGCCCATACAAGAAGAATTCAGTAATGCGTAAATAAGCATAAAACCACAGTTTATACTTAGTCGAACTTTGTAGAAGCATAAAGAAGGGAATAACACTTTCTAGCTTACCACTGACAAGCACTGGGTCAAGGATTTCTGTAACAATTAAATTTGTCTTATGAAGCATCTCCCACCTACATTTCTGCCTACTTCCCCATTCACATCTCAAAGGTTATGTAATTACGAGAGAAAGGTAGTCTAGAACATCTTTTAGTTTGTCTGGAGATATCTGAATTTTACAGATGAATTAGGTGTTTTAAGGACCAGGCAGCTGAGGCTGACAGAGCCCAGAGATAAACCCACTCAGTTCTTAAGGCATTGTGGTTGTCCTACATGATTATATCACCATGTGACACATATTGGGAGTACACTACTACTTCTAATACTTTGAAGTAAGCTATGAGACATCTCAGCTTTCAGATAATCATTCCAGGAACAGACCACTGGTGATATCAGTCCAAAGAAAAAACACTCAAAGACTGAAAGACTGCAAGCCCCAAGAAGTTCCCCCTGATTTACATCTCACTGAGCCATTCTATCCAAAGTCAGATTCAGGAAGCAAACAGAAAGACATGAGGGTTTATCACCCTTTACCATTAAAAGAAACAGAGCAAGAGATCCAAATCCCTTCCACCAAAAGAAGCTTCTTCCTCCTTCAATTTCCATGTAATGAGAATTACATACTATTACACAGTACTAAACATTACATATGCAATAGGCTAATTTATCTCCCACTTGGAAGCCAGATCAAGGCACTGTGTGTTTTCCAACAAGCACAGTCATCCTTTAGCTACACAGTATCCCCTACCAACATTTTTCAAGGACAAAAACTAGGAATCTAATTGTGCTGTAGTGATGGTTCTCATGCCTCACAGAATGCTTTTCTGTCCATATTCAAAACAGACTTCTCTGAGAATTCTTCATGAATAAAACTAAGCTTAACACCTGCATCAGATATTTCCCCTTGTGGAAAACAGTTATCTGTCTATGCCTTCATACATACTGTGTTGGAATATGGGATAATGTGCTGTAGAGAGCTGTGCACTCCTAATCCATCCACACAAGCCTTCTAGCTCCATTCACCAGCCACAGGAATCTGAGCATTACATCATTACAAAGGCATCTGGGTAATGCACCAACTAATCGCGGCTGCCTAAAACCCCCGTGTTTCACCTTCAGAAAACAAAAAGCCAGCACTACTCAAAGGTGCAGTGTGCTGCAGTCGTTCATACAGAGAAAAATGCAAGAGCTACCTGCCAGCAGCTGTTTGAGTTCTGTTGGCTTTATGTATTCACCCCCTATTTTCCCCTTTTCCCCTCATCTATTACAATCATGTATTAAAGCCCATTATTTCATGACACCACAGTCTTCAGAGACTTGCAGAAACCTCACAGCTTCATTTTTACATGTTAAGCTCTTGGGATTCTGGCATCAGGTTGGCAGTTTTATAAAACAATTGCAAAAGAGCATGAATGATTTCAGAAAAACAAGGAATACAGCTGTTCCTGCAAGACCCACGAAAGGGGAGTAACTGTTGGGTTTTTTAAGATCCAAACTTTGCAGCCATTTTGAAATGTTAATTGCTCAATAATAGCTGGAATAAATGGAATTTAAATTATTAATAATAATACTTCCTTTCCCAAGTTCCTTGTTAATTACTAATTGCTAAAAAAAAAAAAAAAGGCCATCAAAATGATTTTTCTTCCCACATCAGAACTTTCATAAATTCCTATATTTGTACTAAAATTTAACAGCTGTCATTCCTGACTTTTTTTTCCTGAGCAACAGGAGGTAGTATTTGTTTAAAACAAAACCAAAATGAAACAAACAAAAAAAACCCCAAACAAATAAAACATTCTTTGCTCTGTAAGGAGGTCTCAATTTTCTTCTAGGGAGACCAGGTGTTTGAAGTGAGTGTCCTAAAATGATGGTAACCTGTGTTTTTGCAAAACTGACAGCTAGTCTGTCTTTAATGACCTGATTATTTAAAAAACAGAGAGATCAGGCCTCCAGATACATAATGAACTCCTTGAATTTGAAAGTACATGAGTGGCCAATTCCCATTCATTTTTCCAAGATCACACCTGGAAAGGATTCTTGCCAAATTTTTTTTGTTTGTTCTTTGTAAATACTTCCAACAGAGCCAAAATAAACAAACAGCTTTATAAATATTGTCTCTACATGACTGCACAGAGAAAAACGTCTTCTGTAGATACTGTCACTGCAGTTTTGCCAGCTCTACTCTTCGCAATCTTTCACTCAGCATAAAGTTTATTCCTACTAATATTAAAATCCAAGGACCTGATAAAAGAGCCTTCACATAACTGAGCACACCAAATATTGCTGGAAATCACAGCATAGGACATCAACGTGCTGCAAAAGGGTAAAGCTAATCACCTTGATAAGGAGCTAGATGCTTAGCCCTAAAACATTTCCTTCAAAGTATGACACACAATACATAATGTGACAAAATCAAAAACAAATTCTGGAACACTGAGGTCAAACAATTCCGGAACTTTCAATTTCCACAGACACTTGAATTAGTTTGCTTTCTGTTTGGAATAGTTTTTCACACTTCTGAACACCAACTGCAACCATCCTGTCTCAGTCCCCAGCTTGTTTAACCATGCAGAACAAAGTCCTTTTCACCAAAAGCAAAGCCACCATTCATCCAGTAATTTGAGTAATCTCTCTGTACTTGTTCCACATTGGATTCATTACTTTTGACCTTAATCAGCCAGAAAAAAAACATACTACATTTAACATTAACTCTTCTCAGTACCTAACAACAGTGTTGCCCATTTCTATGGAATAAAAATAGTCTGATACATTCTCAGATCCTATTTGTTCAATTTGCCCTCATAGCTTAAAGTCAGCTGCAACCAACTAAACCAAATTACTTCTTCTTAATTCTCTTCATTTCCAGCTAATGAGATCCCAGCTTATTGCAAAGGTTCTTTGTAATAATTCACACTCAGGACAAGCTGCACTCTGTGCTGTTTTGTTCAGTAATTTCAGTCCTCAGGGTTGTGTACTCCTTCAGCAATGGCCTCTCAAGTGTAACGGGTGCTTTACATTTTGTACCATCAGCAGGTTTCATCAGTGTGCTTTGCCATTTTCTGTGCGAATGGCACTTGTCAGTCACCAAGTGTCGAGAACAATCCTGAAGAAACCAGCAGTATCCTCCACTCTGACACCACCTCCACAGTATTTGCCTCATAGCCAGGACTATACACCTCTTGCAACGTATTTAGTTTTATGAATCTCTAATTCTCGTCTGCACTAACTGCCCCTATAACTCAACAGAAAATGTTACTGAAATTCAGACTAGTTAGTTCAAACTGCAACCATTCTGACCTAAGATACAGCTTTAACTGAGCCATTTTGTGCATCTCCTTCCAGTTCTTACTTCTAACCACGTTTTATGAGGGGTTATTCATCTAGTTGTAGAAAATTGTTTTAAAACTATTTTTCTTTAGCTTGCGAGAATTATAAAGCATCTCCGTATTCAAGTTCTCAAGCTGATTTGTGCAACTGATTTTACTTGCAGATCTGTAATTTCCCCATGCCAGCCTGTTTGAAATATACAATCACCTTTTAACTTCCACCAAATCCATTTCCAATTAGTCAGTCTTATCCTCATTCCCCATCAAGACTGAGCCCAAAGTACCATCATCTGAAGACATTCAGAGAATTCTGGAGGTTGTTTAGCACGGAAAAGAGAAGTCTGGGGGGGAGGGATTGGAAATCTTACTGTGTGCGAATACCTGACAGAAAAG